GTGTTGGTCATTGTATATGTACTGATGTTGGTCAGTTATTGTATATGTATACTTATGTTGGTCAGCTATCGCTTACGAATACTGGTGTTGTTAGTTGTATATTCTAAGATTAAAATATATTTTTCAACATTAAAGATGGGTTATATCACGCTTCCCTCAAGCATATTCCAGTATAGAACGATATCACGATGAAAAGAGCTAAGGAAACACAATTTTATTGGCACAAGTTTTTGGTTTTTTTAATTATCAGTTCCTCGGTTATTCTAACAGTTTGACGGATGACCAAAATCATGTCTGGTTGAAATAATCAGTGTTATATCTTGGCGTTTCTTATGGACGGGCTCTATCACTTTGCTTGTCGCTATGTTATTCTTAATAGTTCCACCTGCTATTTTCAATGTGACTTTATACATTATTTCTGAAGAAATCATTCACACTTACAGCTGGATGTGGGGGGTATTTGACGATTTCCGCCGGCATCACCCGGTCATTCGGGGTGCCCCCCGGGTACCCTGCTTACTCCCACTGTATATGGATCATTGTGGCCGAACCGGATCTCCACGCCAGACTCTCCATCCTGTCGTTTTCAGGGCAGACATACGGTGGAGACTGTGTGGACACACTCACGGTAAGAACACCCCCTTTATTGGTCTGTAGTGATGTGTAGTCGTTATATCTCGTCACATACGATGTTTATCACTACAAGACGGCATGTCCTTAAAGGAGCGATGACAATATCTTGTTTAGTGTATACCCTGTGATGTATATCAAATAAATTGATGAGATATCTTACGTCATAAAATATATAATGTATCTTATAAAAGATATAATATATATAATGAAAAAATAAAACAGATATATCCCAATGAACACTTACACTTACAAAAACTTATATACATATCAACCAATCACGTTGTAATACAACGTTATGTAGCTAAGCGCCAACTCAAGCGGTCTGAAACAAGCCACTATTAATCCCTAATGGTGTTACTTCACGCTGTAGTTTCCGATATTTTTGTCGGAAGGTTTTATCATTTAAAATTCAAATATCGATGTTGCATGTAATTAGATATCTAATAAACGTATTTATATAAGATGTCTAATAAACGTATTTATATAAGATGTCTTATAAACGAATTTATATAAGATGTCTAATAAACGTATTTATATAAGATGTCTAATAAACGAATTTATATAAGATGTCTAATAAACGAATTTATATAAGATATCTTATAAACGAATTTATATAAGATATCTTATAAGTCAAGTGTTAAAAGCCTGAAGAGGCACAAGATGGGCGAAAGTACTAACGAGATATGCATTGTTTAGTTTTATTTATTAGATACCTTGTATATATGCTCATATGTATCTTATTTCTGTCTTAAAATATCTTATATATTTTAAAATGCGCTATAAAATATGAGATATCTTGTATTGTATAAGATTTCTTATACAAAAATACAGGCGTATTTAAGAAAGTAACCAAGATATCTTACATTAAATAGTATATATAAGATGCCATATCTTGAAAAAAAATATAACGCATCCAATATTCAATGTTATTTTGTAATGAAATACGGGATCGACCTTCCTCTGAGAATAAAGGTTCAGCTGTAGTCGTTTTGTGTTGGTGACTCCATCTTGGTTCCTGCCGTTGTTGTTTCACACGGAATGAAGTTCCAATTTTTCTGGTGTGCTTACGTTCTGCTGGTGTACAGTTTTTATTCTATTATTAAATAATTAGTAATTTAACCATTAATGCTTTATATTCCGATATGTTCGTGTAGGTGAGGGATGGGGACATCGATCAGGCTGATCTCCTCGAAACTACTTGTGGTACCGTCAGTAACACCGTTGTCACTTCATCCGGTAGATGGCTCTGGGTACAGTTTAAAAGCGATGGGTCCGACTCGACATCCTCGGTTTCTCTGTCACTCACGACAGTCACTGCAGGTAACGCCCACACCAGCCTCATTATCATGTGTCTGTGCCTAAAGCAGCTTTTGATCCTTGTGTTTTTACCAGTCACTGCTAGCAAAAAAGCACGACAGGGCAAAGATGATGAACCTTTGTGATTTAATATTTAATGCTGCAGATATTCTCAAAGTTGTATAATTCGTAAAGTGTGAATTTGATAAAAGTGAAAATAACTATTATTATAGATACTGTGTCTTAAACGTTGTTTTTCCTTTTGCAGGTCATTCGATGGAAAATCTCACAAATCCTCTTGCAGGTAAATACATCTCTTTACGGTAAATTTTAAAGGTATGGCAAAATAAACAAAAACGAAAAATGAAAGTCACAAACGCATTTAATGCGACTTCCGCTTGTTGCTCAACCTGCAAATTATCCAAAGTTGGTTCCATCATTTTGAGAACCTTTATTTTTGTATTCTTTGTGTACCGTAATATTATAAATTCTACCCTTCGTATGTATTACTTCCCTGTTTCAACTCCGGATTCGAGCTGTTAACATTGATTGTTTAATCTTTCATAACTATTTTATTTATTTGACACATTAATCCTCGATCCCCCAAAATACCACTATCACCTAGATCGATATTAAGTTTATTTCGTTGAGCCGTAAGTAAATATATAAATATGACACTTTATCAATACAGCTAATGGTGCTATTGAACCATTCAACTGTATTGTGTACTTTGCTTCAATTGCCGATTTAATCTTTGTTAGCCGTTTAAATGTAGACGCTGTCTGGTAGTAAAATGCTCAGAAGCTGACAGGGGCTTGACAGAAAGCTTTTTATCACATCGAAAGCATCCATTGTTGTTGGCCTGAAAAGTGTAACCCTCTACGTCATACCCACAGACATAGCGGTGTTCGTCTGAACACTTTAACCCTCTACGTCATACCCACAGACATAGCGGTGCTGCTCTGAACACTTTAACCCTCTACGTCACACCAACAGACATAGCGGTGTTGGTCTGAACACTTTAACCCTCTACGTCACACCAACAGACATAGCGGTGTTGATCTGAACACTTTAACTCTCTACGTCATCCCCACAGACATTAGCGGTGTTGGTCTGAACCCTTTAACCCTCTACGTCACACCGACAGACTAAGCGGTGTTGGTCTGAACACTTTAACCATCTACGTCATACCCACAGACATAGCGGTGATGTTCTGAACACTTTAACCCTCTACGTCATGCCCACAGACATAGCGGTGTTGTTCTGAACACTTTAACCCTCTACGTCACACCAACAGACATAGCGGTGTTGATCTGAACACTTTAACTCTCTACGTCATACCCACAGACATTAGCGGTGTTGGTCTGAACACTTTAACCCTCTACGTCACACCCACAGACATAGCGGTGTTGGTCTGAACAGTCTGACCGTTTACGTCACACCCACAGACATATATTGGTGTTGGTCTGAACTGTCTGACCCTCTATACGTCATACCGACAGACATAGTGATGTTGGTCTGAACTGTCTGTGCCCCCCTCCCCTATTTTCCTGTATAGTGTTTTAGCAAACAAAGTTCAATCGGAGAGTTTTACCAGCTTAAGTTTCAAGGCTAGCCATTGTACTTGCGCGTTATTAAAAGAATATTCGTCAATACCAGGCTGTGTTGCTGCTTGTGTGTTAAAACTCTTCACTATTGTATATTGGGTAGTTAAACCGAGCCCCCTGGTTGTGTATTACTTGTGAGCACCTGTACACCCGAATGATACTTACAACACATGGACGTGGTTTGGTCAGGATAATAAAACTAGTGTATGTGTGATAGTGGAAATCAACAGTGGATTGTATTACAAGGTCTACATTGAGATATACACGCATTAAACATAGGGACACAACATTGTGGTACCTGTCTGTTACGTCACATCATGGGGAGTTGTGTTTGTCCGTGTAATGTGTGGAGACTCTGGTAAATCACGCAGATTCTTGGAGATTTAATCCGAGTGTCTAAAAGTATATAAAGAATATGATATTACGTCAAATCATCATACAACTGCGTGGAATATTTCTTCTGATCTTTGATTACCTATTACTGTTGTGTTTAATTGGAGGCCATGTTGATATCGTTTCAGCGTGTAAATCGTTCGAGTTTCAATGCTCTAACCTTGTGTGTTTACCTCGATCCTACATTTGTGATGGGTTTAATGACTGTGGCTGCATGGAAAACTGTGACGAATCGGATTGTATCGGTCTGGGTTTTGGTAAGTACATCACAATTTTATGTATACCGCCGGACTAAATAATCACGGGGCTTATGCAATTATAATTTCAACTAAACTACACAATCACAGGAACATTAAAATCATAGCATTATCAGGTTGCATAAAAGAATCGTTAAACACTATCAGATTTTGGAATCACTTGCGCTACAAAAACATAGTAATACAGGTGTGTGTAAAAACAGAAATGCAATATAAAAATCGATGAAATTAGGGCAAAGTATGAGCGAAGAATTTATTATCATAGCGACTATCGAAAAAGGCCAAGAGAATTGGGCCTGTTGTTCAAGGAAGGGTTTACCTCTGCTTCATCAACGACATCCAACATGTTAACCTAGCTTAAATCTAAGTCCAGTGTCACGTCCTCAAACTGAGAACTGGTGTAGGGTCAACGCAACCACAATGCGCCATCTGTCGGGATAATTAGGATCAGATATTTATGTGATCATTGGGGCTGGATAATCATGTGATCACAGGGTATCTACACACAGGATCATTTGGGCTACATTATCACGTGATCCTTAAAACTACATAATTATGTGATCATTGGGGTTACATAATCGCATGATCATGAGGGACTCACCATAAGTGCTATATAATCATGAAGCATTAGGGTTATTTATATAGAGCAAGTTTTTCCTTGCACAGAATATTTTGGACTACAGCATCATTGGGTCATAATTTATAATCATAGGATCATTGGGGCTTCACAGTCATGGAATCAAACTTGCTTCATAATCTTTGGATGGTTAAAGCTACATAATGATGGGACAATTAAGTAACATAAATATAGAATGAGATACGATGCAGAATCATCTGAATACAAGTTATATGTTCTTGTGAAAATAAGTTGATATGATATTTAAGTGTTGTGACGTTCTAAAACGTTTTGNTTATATAGAGCAAGTTTTTCCTTGCACAGAATATTTTGGACTACAGCATCATTGGGTCATAATTTATAATCATAGGATCATTGGGGCTTCACAGTCATGGAATCAAACTTGCTTCATAATCTTTGGATGGTTAAAGCTACATAATGATGGGACAATTAAGTAACATAAATATAGAATGAGATACGATGCAGAATCATCTGAATACAAGTTATATGTTCTTGTGAAAATAAGTTGATATGATATTTAAGTGTTGTGACGTTCTAAAACGTTTTGTTCCAGCACCTCTCACACAGCTCGGCTTCTCGGCTGGGATCGGGGTGGGAATGTTTATCTTCATCTTCATCTTTGTGTGGTTGTGGGAGAAACGTCGGCGGCGAATGGCCAAACAGAAAGAGCGAGAGGACCGTATGAAGGAGGAAGGGAGAGGGCGACCCTCAAAGAACAAAAAGGACGACAAAAAGGATAAAAAGGCTAAGGTGGCATGGCATAAATAATGTCGCTATTACGTTATCCTTAGCAAGTTCTCAGGGTCATGAAGTGTGTACAGTTAAACCGTCCATTACATTTTCAGCTCGTCATTTGTTTCTATGACATTCAAATGCATTCAACGAAATCCATTTTGTTTGTGTCAGTGGCTCTAACTCACGTGCCACGCTTAAGGTAGACTGAACAGTAGATCCATGGTCTGGTTTTAAATAACTAGGACAGACTCTCTGTAGGAAGTTCGTCAATCTGCTTGCGTTAAGTTGTTATGTACATGTTAAGCCAAAACAAAACATGCAAAGATTTGCTATATCGGACGGTTTTGTAAACAACCTGCATAATGAGTCACCTTTTAAGAAATCACAAACGATTAACTGTAGCATGAACACGGTCGTCACTGTTAACACGGTCTATTGGAGCAGTATATGATAGCTATGTATCCTAATTTAGTTAATGTTAACACGGTCTACTAGAGTAGTATATGATAGCTATGTATCCTGATTTAGTTAATGTTAACACGGTGTACTGGAGTAGTATATGATAGCTGTGTATCCTGATTTAGTTAATGTTAACACGGTGTACTGGAGCAGTATATGATAGCTACGTATCCAGATTTAGTTAATGTTAACACGGTCTACTGGAGCAGTATATAATAACTATGTATCCTGATTTAGTTAATGTTAACACGGTGTACTGGAGCAGTAGATGATAGCTATGTATCCTGATTTAGTTAATGTTAACACGGTGTACTGGAGCAGTATATGATAGCTGTGTATCCTGATTTAGTTAATGTTAACACGGTCTACTGGAGCAGTATATAATAACTATGTATCCTGATTTAGTTAATGTTAACATGGTGTACTGGAGCAGTATATGATAGCTATGTATCCTGATTTAGTTAATGTTAACACGGTCTACTATAGCTATGTATCCTGATTTAGGTAATATCAACACGGTCTACTATAGCTATGTATCCTGATTTAGTTTAAAAGTGTGTCTGGTGTCAGGTCTGAGTTGATAGTACTAGTACTATTACTGTGGGATACTAGTGGATTAGAAGGGCGGGGGTGGGGTGGGGAGATGTTCATTGTAAACCTGTTTCCTAAGTATTGTAATGTGAATCTTGTAATGGTAAACGTTATATTTGTTATGTGAATCCTGTAGTGATAAACATTATATTTGTTATGTGAATCCTGTAATGATAAACATTATATATGTTATGTGAATCCTGTAATGATAAACTTTATATTTGTTATGTGAATCCTGTAATGATAAACATTATATTTGTTATGTGAATCCTGTAATGATAAAAATTATATTTGTTATGTGAATCCTGCATGTGCCAAACTGAATGTAGGCTAACGATTGCATATATGGGTTTGATTGCTTTTATAAATATAACAGGCTGTACCTAATGTTCGTGACGATCCGTTATTTATCTTTTATAAATATAACAGGCTGTACCTAATGTTCGTGACGATCCGTTATTTATCTTTTATGTTCAGCAAGAGTTGAAGTGATTGTCTTTAGTTTGTTTTATAATAGTCACCAGTAACGTATAGGTTCATTTATTTCCTTAAACATTGTCATCATATCCATTCCATTGCTAAATTGATTATTAATTAATCAAAAGCCAATAATCATACTACTTATTAATGTGACATGCATATAACAATGGCTTCGTACTGGCAATACATAGAAGTAAATTAAGGTAAGAAGCATAGCTTATGTAGCATACATCTGTTACTAGCTAATTGGTTCGTTAAGTTCGTGGGAACTATAATCAAAGTGGCGATCAATCTTCCGATAGATGCTAGGCTGAGTAACACTACCATTACCTTAGCTTTTGTGTACAATGTACTGTTTTAAGATTGTTGACACGGTTTCCTGTCTGAAATGATTCATTATTGTGACTGTAAAGATGAGTTTTTTTTATATACAACGAAATACTGTTCTGATTTAACACTTATTCAAAGGCATGAAAGAGGTTCGTGGCCTGAATTCATTGATTTGAGAATAAACACTGCAACTCAGCAACTAACTAACACAGGTTTGGGAATGCCTAGATCAATGCTATGATGCCATTATGTAACAATGGACATGTGGAGCGCCACATGTCATACACCTGTATATTAATATCGACAGGCGGACAATAAGATGAGCTCTGTCATATTTTGTTATCATTAATCGTTGTTGATAGATCATGGCATGTGTTTTGATGTGGAAAGTACATACATTATGTCCTCGACTCGACTTCAAAATGATAATGGAATACATGTTATAGGCAAACATACGATCCATCTTCTCATGTGAACCTATATACAAATATAATGTATTTACCCTGATTATAAAGTTACGTTTAACGCCGTATTTTACATATAGCACACCTCAGAGTTATAACAGTGTTATTCGGATTTAAGTGCTAGTATTTTAAATATTGGTGATACGTTCAGGTAATGATACTGACTAACTCCGGCAAAGAATGCCCTGTGCTGTATTTGCTTATTATCTACTGGCAATGAAATATTCGCTGTTCTACTGTAGCTATTGAATTCTTACAAGAAATATTCTCTAAGTTGGAACAATATTAATTATATTTGTTACCTGGGCTACAGGTGTGGAAATGTAAATATCCTTTACCAAGAAGTTATGACAGGTTTGTGTGTCGTTGTTTGTTATTGATGTAAACGACACCATTTATCGATAGGAATATTGTCGTGTTATCATCTCGGAATGATAAATTTGTCCTTATAAGGATTGTTCTTTTGTTAAATTGGATGACTGGTCAGATTGATGAATAAATACATCCGTGAGATCGTCACAGTTGTCTTGTTATGTGTGTACGTAAGAATTGAGTTCACCACCACCATCATCATCATCAACATCATCATCATCATCATCATCTGGCTTATGAACCTTAGTTATCAGTTTTAAGGTGTATGTATATATTTTAGTGTGGTTCATCTCCATTGTACACACATGAATGAGTAATCACTAAATTACCAATGCATGGCGATCAAACTCTCTTAGTTTTGTTTGTCTTAAGCGATGCTGACATCCCTTATTTGCTTATTTAGTCGCTGTTGTTAGATTTTGGTGTACATCTGATGTGTTATACAATATATAATAATATTACTGATTTCAACGTTTTATTTTATTTTTCAGAGAAAAAAGATGGAGATTTATTGGGTTAGCTGAGCTGTGGACCAGAGCACTGTTTTAATCTACTACAGATGTACTATTACATAAGCAAGGGACATGATCATGTAAAGCGTTCCTAATTTCGAAAGTTTGGGGCTTATTTAATGTAAAATGTTCTAATTATAAAAGAGAAGCTTTAAAGAAAAAATAACATTATTTACAAATGGCAGGATTTTACATGGTTTTACACTTTGTAAGGATCAGTTTGATATAGGGTTAAACCCTAAATATACATGAACATTTATTAAATTGACTTTGTGTTCATGCATCAACTGTCTATTGTCAGTGTGACAGGTGAATAACAGAAGTATAACTTACTGGAGGTTCAATCCTACAGTTACATACCGTTACATTGTCTTCAGATATTTTTCTATAAAAACTATGCGGGCAATTGATAATGTACAGTTAACCTAAATAATGAAATACTAGAATGCTAAACCTTACATTATAAACAACTTCTGCAGCGTGACATAAACGTGCTAATGGCAAAGTGCCAACTCTTTTAACCACTGTCATTCTGTACTGCCCGTTGCATGCTTGTTAATACAGGGGAGATAACTAGCTTAGTACATTCCCTCCGACTACCTCTCTAGCACGTCTCCGCGCTACCTATCGCACGACGTATGTGTATACGAGGCATGTTGTGATATGTAAAACCAGGTTGCATGCTACGTTTGATAAGTGACATTTAAACTGAATTTTCATATAAATAATTGATTTATCTGATTTCGTTCAACTGATATCAATCAGAAAAATAATATTCATTGACTTAAAACTTGTTTACTATCAATCGAAATTGCAACCTGCTTTAACATGATTTTGTAACCCAGTTCTTCCACAGATGTGCCGCTCCAGAGATGACATTAGTTAGAACAACCAGACGCTGAGACAGTCTTCTTCCCTTGCTGTATTTCCTAGCAGAGCCTGATCTTTTTAACGACTATAACCAACCTCTGCACTAAGCGATGTTTATGTGGTGTAACACAATTTGTAGCAAACCTTCGATTCAGAATGAAATATTCCGAAATATATATGTAATGTTCGAAAGTTATAGGAAGATTTCACTGCCATTATTCGTCACCAAATAGGAATAATATTTTTCTTATTATGTTGACTGTACGCAAATCAACTTTTTGAACTCATTTTCTCTACAGAAAGTGTGACATCATCACACCAGAAATTGCATATGTGTAGTTATACCATCCATAGCTTGCCTAGGTTGGAAACGCAGCAGGTTGGTTACCATCGTTACTTATATATTATGTTGTGAATCACCTGTTTCGGTGTTTTTTTATCCTGATCTTTGATATTTGAAGATTTTTTGAAAAGTAGCAACCAAAGTTCCTGCTCTCATTACATTATCAAAAAAAATCCTAATCAACCAGCTCATCCTCATTTCGTTTCCTGTGAATTATCAAAATTGTCCACTATAACGTTATTTTACTGTATATGCACACGGAGGGGTTTTCGTGTTGCATTGTTATTTCTTTATTCTGTCGGTTTTAAATAGTCTTACTTTTTTTTAAAGTAAGGTGATTCACAGTATAACAGTATATTATAACCGGAATGTGTGCTTCATCCCTGCCTGGTTATCTATGTTCAGAGTTCTTCCTTTCAGCATGATTACGGAAAGCATGGTCAATTATGACAATTTAACGCATTGCATGTAACAATTACTCGAGAATGGAATGAATACATAACTGTTAATGACACAACAGACATCCCCTTGGATTCAGAAATCACAACAGAAGTACCAAATCCTGACAGATATCTCTCACGGGGCATGAAGTCTGCGAAAACAGAAATAAAAAATACCTTACTGACAACAGGAAGTCTGAAAACAAACCTGACAGACATCTCCTATGAGACTTGATTCCTTAAGGGGTCAGAAATAAGACCTGACAGACATGTCCCTGTGTTACAGGAAGTAATAGGATACAGAAATAAGACCTGACAGACATTTCCCTGTGTTATAGGAAGTAATAAGATACAGAAATAAGGCCTGACAGACATGTCCCTGTGTTACAGGAAGTAATAGGATACAGAAATAAGGCCCGACAGACATTTCCCTGTGTTACAGGAAGTAATAGGAGTCAGCAATAAGACCTGACAGACATGTCCCTGTGCTACAGGAAGTAATAGGATACAGAAATAACATTATTAATTCGATACGGCTTCAATTTAAATATAACGTACTATAATTTAGAAATCAATATACAAGTAACGTTAATCACAAGGAGAGGAACTTTTAATATGTTCTTATATAATTACATAACAATTATTAACTATAATGTTAATGTTCCAGTCCTGATTGAATCGGTTTAATTGTTAGAGTGTTAAAACTCGTCTTTGCTGACTTCACACGCAATGTCTTTAACAAAGGTGTTCTCTAGAGCAGGTTAGGCTATAGATAAAACCATCTGTTCCTTACGACGCTTGTCCTCTCCGCATATCAAACAATTCCAAGGCCTGGCGGATTTGTTTATTTGACATCGCTATGCTAATTTGGATGTGATTTAATTCGTTATTGAACTATGTCTTGTATCAATGACTTTTACTGTGCCTCATACAGTATAGACCTCTTTATCGCATTATTACCAAAGGTTTGCATACAACGACATCTGCTTTCTGCGATAATACTACAGGGAATTACGACAATTGGAGGGCCAATGACGAAGAACAAAATGACAATATTTGTTTGGATTAAGCAACGCCATGGCGATTGTGTAGTCAGTGAGTGGATATCCTCAAGCTATTATTTCTTGTTGGTAATGGAGGACAATGTGTTTTATACTATTATGACTTTGAATTTATATCAATTAGAACTTTGAGAAGAAATTGTTATTGTATGTATGTCTTTGCGTCTTTGTCTTTTACGCACTTGATCACATACACTGTGTATGTGTATTTGATATATCTTAACACATGATGACTATAATTACACATGTTTTGTGTTTGTACACACGTGATATGTGTATGAAGTATGTGCGCATGGGTGATATGCATG